ACTGAAATATTTTTGATATTATAAATATCTAGGTAGAGCAATGCTAAATCAGTCATGAAGCTGTATTTTCTGATAGCCCAATTCTATATTGATAAAACCACARTCCAGTCCTGATTATACTTATTGAAATTTTTATGTCACATAAACTGAGACMAGAATGCTTGAAATTCAGGAGCACTGAACATAAGTTGTACCTATGCAAAGGTGAACATCTTAAAAATAACATCACTTCGAATGCACATATGTGTAAATTTCTATAACTTGGTTTGTTCTCTACCCGTTCTCTCTCTATCATCGATTACAGAATTGAAATCTTGCTCAGGTATTGGATTGTTATGAATTTCAGGAAAACCGAGGAGATAATCTTGAATTGCCTAAATCAACCATATTAATTCCATTCCTACTTCTAGTCAGCATGTGATACATTTCTGGCCAATAAGATGAGAGGGGATTAGAAAGTTTAGAGCTGAAAAACAAGATCTGTTTAACATCCAAAAGTCAATTAAAAGACTGGAGAAAAAATACATATGATCACATATAAATGAAAAAGATAAATACCCTTTCATGATAAAAATACTCAAAAAAAGTAATAATAGAATTTCTTCAAACTGATAAAAGTCCTCTATGTAAACCCCCAAATTAATACTTAACATGAATGCTTTCTTCAAGAATTCCAGCTATTATATACAGTGACATGGTCACACCAATGCTTATAGCAGCTCAAGTCACAATAGCTAAGCTATGGAACAAACCTAGGTGCTCTTCAACAGAAGAATAGATAAAGAAAATGTGGTATATATACACAATGGAATATTACTCAGCCATAAAGAAAAATGGAATTATGGCATTTACAAGTAAATGGATGATACTGGAGATCATCACGCAAAATAAGCCAATCCCAAAAAGCTAAAGGCTGAATTTTCTCTCTGATATGTGGATGCAAATACACAATAAGTGGGGAGAAAGGAAGAATAGGAGTTCATTGGATTAGACAAAGGGGAATGAAGGGAAGGGAGGGGAGATTTAAAAGATGAGAATAGGAAAAACAGTAGAAAATATCAGACATAACATTCCTGTGTTCCTATATGAATACATGACCAGTRTTAATCCACCTCATATACAACCACAAGAATGGGAAGTTGTGTTCCATGTATGTATAATATAGTAAAATACATTCTACTGTCATGTATAGGTAAAAAGAAAAAAAAAAAGAATCTCTGCTGTCAGCATTTCTGTGCAACAGTGTCATGAAGGTACTAGAGAAGACAATTAATTATAAAGAAAATAATATCATTGAGTTTAGAAAGTAAAAAGTCATACTATTTCTATTTAAAGATGGCATAATCTTGTATATAGAAAATCATAATAAAATCATAAAAACTGTTGAAAATTAATAAATGAATTCAGCAAGTTTGCAGAATTCTAGGTCAATCTACCAATCTTTTTTATTTTTATATGCCAAAAGACTTTTGACACCATTTTAAAATGTTTCTCAGTGTTATTTACATCTTTAAATATAAATGAAATAAACATGTCCATGATACATGGTGCACATAGAAATTATTGCTAGTGATAATCATAACATTAGCAACCACATTAAGAACCATAGTACCTATTTTAACATTTATGAGATCTTTACCATATATGAGATAGTATGTCAGAATATATATATATATATATATATATATATATATATATATTTCCATATATTTTTTTCTAAAAAACAAAAAGTACTATGATATGGATAAAATTATATTTTTGTTTGTTTTTATTTTTGGTACCAAGGGTTGAACCTAAAGACAGTTAACCACTGAGCCACATTCCCAGCCATTTTTACTTTTTTAATTAGAGACAGGTCTCACAAAGTTGCTTGGATCCTAAGTTACTGAGGCTGGCTTTGAACTTTTGATCATCCTGCCTTGTTGTCCTGACCTCCCGAGGTGACAGGCATGCACCACCATGCCCCGGCTGGATAGGATTTTTAACACAAGGATCAGGCAAAGAAAGTAAATTTTAGCAAGACTAAATACTTTGACCTAGGATCATGAGAYATAAGTGACAAATATAAAATATAAGTTCGTATGACCCAAGAGCTGATTTCTTCACTCTAATCCCAAAATGAAATTACTTGAAGGGTAAGATTATGAGGAAAATCATCTTCAATTCTATCACTTTTCAGAAAGTCAGACCCATCTTTTGCAGTGATTATGTTGAAAAGGCCACATGGAGAATACTGCTTTTGGAATTCTATATCCTGAGGTCTTGTGGAACTCATCCTTTTCACTAATGATCATGCATAAAGGACAAACCAGAGAAAAATAATTTTCTCTATCTGGAAAATTATTCCGTGATGCTACAAAGAATTAAGCTCCACTGAAGCACATCGGTACAGTTTTTAACAATGCATTTGTTGAGTACTGACTTTTGTTGGTAGTAGCTGAAGGAAGCCAAAGACCCAGTAGAAGCAACCACTAGAGGAGATCAAAAATTTATGTCCAGAGGTGGTATATTCTCTGATTTTGACACAGAGAAAGAAAACATCAGAACACATCCTTGAGAAGTATCTAAGCAAATTGTCAACAGGTTACCAACTTCTATCGTTTCCCAAAGAAATCACAAAGATTCTATGAGAATTGAGGATTTCAAAATATTCAGAATTTTCAATGAGACAAATGGCATTAGTATCACTTGTGGCTTATACAGAAAATTTTGTATAATTCTGATATTCTCTTTATTTTGGATCAAGTTTCTAAAGGCATCTCACAGCTTAAAACATCCATTTGTCCACCTGTGCTTATAAAACATGGATGAAATTCTAGCTTATCATTTCATCGATGGGTTCAAGACTAATAAAAGGAAGGACATCGGTACAAGCAGAAACAGCATCCATTTCCTCTGTGCCACTTGCAAAGGCACAAAGTGATCTCCTTACAGCATCCCACCTGTTAGGCATTATCACCTTCTTCTCTATCACCATGTAAAGAACAAATGCTGAGACCTTGTTATTTGTAACATGATCTCAGGGTACATACAATGACATCCAGAAATTCCTGGAGGGTTTATTCAATGAAGAATAACTACAGAAAAGTAAAGACCTTAATGACACTATTGCTTATGGTACAAATACATAGGTGCCCCTCTTATCTAGGGATAYACATGAAAAGAATCAGAATTTGCTATTCTTGGATATCATACTTTMACTTAGTATTAAATTAATAAAAATTAGAAACATGTATGCTCACTCAGATTCACAGAGATGAGAAAATAATGACTGTAGATTTTCTGTATCCTTAGTGAGTTTGAGTTCACAGATAGCTCTCTTTCATGTGTGGCACTGCTAAGAAGAAGGGAAATACACATGAATGCCTAGATGTCTAAGCAATGTTCAGCAATAGATGATAAGCACTAAGACAAAATGTCTTTCAAGAAGTCATCCAAATACTGGACCATCAAAATAAATTCTTCAGGGGAAGATTAAAATGCAGAAAAAGACCAAAAATGAGCAAATGAATGACACAATCATAAATTTTCTGGGGGAAAAAAGTCAGATAGTTAAGAAGGAATAAAAATTGTAATATCCTCAGAAACACACACAATAACATCATCACAAAACTCTGCCAGAGGATAGATGTTCCTCTCTAGAGGGACACCAGGAGGCTTCTGGGAGCCAAGGTCCTCCCCATGGAGAGCTGCCCAAAAAGATCAATGAAAGAAGCCAGGATGCACCAATTTACACAGCTAGACAAGAATTAAGGACTAATATTCATAGATTAGTCTGCTTGGTAGACTAAAAACCATGTGTTGAAGATTTATGATCATTATATATAAAAGTGTGAGTAGCAAAATAAATTAATACTTACCACTTTAATTTGTCAACTTAATAAACACTGGAGAAATACAATTTACATTTTAAAGAATAAAGATCTGTTTAAAATTGGCAGCAAGAAATGACAATAATTTGAAAAGTAGGAAATGGTTAAGCAATTTGCACTCAGAAATGAGTCTCCACTGTGCTAAATAAACCAAAAGTATATTGAAAGTAATTTTAAAACAGTGAACAACTTTTAAAGAGTGAAATTAATATYCATTACTCAAGTCTTACTGTTTAAAATCACATTTCAGCATAATTTATCCCAAATCAGTAAATTATGGATCTAAGGAAAGACAATCTTGCTTCCCTCAATGCTTTCAAAAATCTTACAATTATATCTGAAATTCAGTGATTTAATTACATGATAAATCCACTATAATTAATTGCCCAACATTATTTGCTACTATGCTAGAGTCTGGATTAACACAAATGCAATTCAGAAAAGATTCTCTAGTTTCAATTATCTCACAATTTAATGAAAATAAAAGTCATATAAACAACAGACTATAACAATATATAGACTGTAATGATTTTTATAATAAACCTACAAAGTTCAATCAAACTAAAAGGACTTCTAAAATTAATATTATGTTTATAGTACTTTTTTAAAAATAAGCATATTTTATTCTACTAGCCCCCATAAACACCACAGAAAATGACCTTTACTTTTAAGATGTAAGACTCATACTCTTTGTTGGCATATAAGAAATCAGGTGTGAAGAATACACTACAATAATTTGAGCGCATGAATGAAGAGAAATCCTCTGGCTAGGAAAAGAACAAGAGAGAAACAGTAGATGCCTATAAAAAATGGGGGAAAGAAGTCCTTAGGGGGAAAAGAATAAAAAAGAAGTGGAAATAAAGGATATATACACTTCACAAATTCTCCTAAGTTCATCTTTTCCTTCACACCATATAATTTAAATCATAAATCAAATGAATCTAGCTTTGTGTTTCAGCCATTTTAAAATTATTGATAAAAAAATTTCATTTCATGAACTATTCTTCCCAGGAAGTCACACTAAATTTAAAGTTATTTCTCATTTCTTAACGTTAACCTTTTGTAAAGAGCATATTACTATATGTAGAAATGGACATTTAAAATATAACATGAAAATTGTTTACTTACAATCATCTGATATTTTTGAAGAAAAGTATTCAAAAAGACTTAAAATATTTGTTTCCTGTAATTCTGGCTCTTTTTCTGATTTTTCCATGAATACAATATTCTTTCGTGAACTATTACAGTCACAGAAACCAACAAGAGCAGTTTTTCGCAAATCAGAAGTTGCTGCATACAAGCAGATTTCTGCAACAATTGTTGTATATGTATAGATGATAATCCAGGTCCACGAAAGGTCATCAACCTTGCAGTTTTCTTTCTGAAGTATGAAAACAGGTATTAGGAAAATCAGAGGACATTCTGTCATAATTAAGAACCATAAAAAAGTCTTCAAATTTCATGGAATTATTAAAAGATCAAAATAAATATTTCTAAATGAACTCATTAGAAAAGCAATTTTCCACAGATATATTGCATAAATAGTAGTTCAAAATATAAAAACTGTAAATAGCATATAAATATATAAAGAACAACTTTTTAGTTTCTTTGGGAAGCAATAGAACATAAATTAATCCAATGCAATACTACTTTCTGCAATAATATTTTTTAGTGTGTTATAGTTTCATGTATTTTTCATAGGAATAAAAAAAAATTACAACTTTTGGAGAGGAATTTAAGCATCTGTTCCAAGACCCTTAAATACAGCTTATAGATCTTTCATGCAAAATTTATTTTTAGTAATTTATTCCAAAGAAGTAGAAATACAAATAATATGTTATGTTTGAGAATGCCAATACAACGTTTCTTGTAATTAATTATGAACAGTTAGAAAATAACTTAATGTTCAATAATAGAGAGTGGGTTAAAAAACTTATTTCATTTCCACTAAAATACAAATCTTAATAACATGTAATGACAATGGAAAAGTTTATGAAAAATAGTAAATGTTATATGCATATTTACTTTAAAATATAATTATTAAAAAGTTATGGACACTAGGTGCCCTAGTATGATAGATAATTTAAATAGTGGCAAAAAATAAAATATGCTTCTATTCAGGGGTCTTTTCACATTTAAATTAGTAATGTTGTTACCTGACTATGAAGAGACATAATGCTTGAAAGAAAATCTTTCACTATTTCCATTAAAGCTCTCAAGCAGGCCATGTTTAATTTGGCAGCCTCCCCAAGGACAAACAAAGCCAGTGCTGAGTCCAACCTGAATTATGAACAGATGACAAAGACTTTAATAGAAAATAACAATAATCAATTTTAATGAATAAAAAAGGAAATGAGTGCTGAGATAACCACAAAAACTTATTTTCAATAAAGATTGGTATTGGCTGGCACCAATTACTATAAGTGTTTATAGGATGTTTTGGTAAGATGTTTCAATTTAGAGTATGCTCTGACAAAATTCTGAGAAATAATACAGTCAATAGCATCTCTTCATAAATCTGGTATGACAAGCAGTTGTGTTCTGCTGCTGTAGAGTCCCCTTTTGTGACTGATTCTATAGAGTAAATATCAAGAGCGTGTTTTCTTCTCAAAATAGAGAACAAATTTTAAAAATTATTTGCCTAAACATTCCAAAAGTTAATATTATTTGGTTTTGTAAAATGTGTAGTTTCTAAAAATAAAATTTATATTTCACATGAATGATATACTGTCATGTATTAGTTTTTAAAATATCATACAATAACTAGGAAATTATACCAGCACTTTTTAGTCATAAATATATATATATTCTGAAAGTTTCAAGAAATTATATATTTAGTGCTATTCCTTTCCAATTGAAAGAGACATACTTTGAAAGGATCTGACAAGCATCAAAAGTAAAATTGCCTCTATTCAGAGTTGCTTATGGCCTTGACTTATGGATTATTAATAAATTTAAGAATCTGTATATTTTATAAGCATTTTTAAATTTTACAACTGTAATATTTCAGGTCAATCAGTTGAAACTCATCATCATTTTCAAAAGGAAATTCCTCTGATCAGGAAAGTTGCAGACAATTCTATATATTTGAATAAGGCTTTAAAGGCCTCAATATGCTGTCACACAAATTATCTCATTTGATTTGAATTTTGGACACATAAGGCCTGTTAAAACCTTTTTTCTTTTAAATATTAGAAAACTGAGACATAGATAGGTCTAGGAGATTTGTCTGAGTTCACTTTTCCAGATCAGTCAACTGTAACTGAAGCCTTTTCTAACATATGGATATTTAATGCTTTATAATTCTTCTTTTMCAAATCATTATTTAAATACTCAGTATTTAACCTTCATGTGGAAAGTGCTGACTCCATCTACCTAAAAGAACCTGAATTTTCTTCGAGATGGCAAAATATCATCAGTTAAGGTTGCCTCTTCAAGATAGAGTGTTCTGTCTCTCTTGGAGCAGTGATTATTATAAACATAGTATTTATCAAAATTCATATATCTTTATACATAAAATGTGCATCTAAACTATATCTCAGAAAATCTGATTTAAAATTAACTAATTGAACTTCCTTAAATCTTGGAAACACTATATAATAGATTCTGTAAATGAGATATAAATGGAAGTATATTGTGAATGTCTTCTAGGCAAGTTATTATTTTTCTGGTTAACAAATAGATAAAATTTGGATAAGAGACCCTTTTTTCTCCTTTGTTCATCTTCTTGCTGCTCCTGCTAGGAAGGCATGCTTGACATGAACAGAAGCAGAAGAGCCATCATACCCAAGAAAGAAAATCCTAGACTAGGAATGAAAGGGATGCTCCAAGATGCTAGAGTCTTGAGAATGTCCTTAATCCTCTGCGTCAGCATGTCGATGCTTGTCATGTGCAATAAATACAGCCCAGCTGAGTAATGCAAGTGTACTCAGGTTTCTATCTCCTGTGAAGACCAAATTCAAACTGACACATTCGGCATGATGCTTATGAAYACAAGACAGAATTGTAGCTCTGCCACTAATTAGGTGTCGGATGTAGAATAAATTATGTMCCCTATTTCAGGCTTACTTATCTATACAAATATAGCAAAATCCACTTTTCAGAAAGTATTGTGATTTTTAAATAAGATACTCTGTAAAATGATTATGTTCAAAATGCTGAATTGGATTAGAAAAATTCCATTTCTTCAAAGCTAAAATATATGAGTTTGTAACTTTCTTTGTTTATAAAGTTTTAGAATGATGGAAAGAAGTCTAGAAGATATCCAAGATGGACAGTGAGTTGTTCCCAAATATTTCCCATTCGTATTTCTCAATATGGCCAAGGTAAAGAGGATAGTCACAGGCTTTGTAAAACTTCTTTTCCTCTGAATATACTTCATAATCACACAGTTTGGGTTCTTCTATTCTCTTTGAAGTCTAGAAAATTGTATCTAACCTACTGCACTATGGATTGAAAAAGATCCATCAGTGCCAGCCACCTGTGGTAGAAAAATGCTTCACCAGAAACACACTGTTTTCAATCAATGCTGCTGACTGCAAATTTTTCTATAAGCAAAAAGGACTTTGCCAAAAATAGAATAGAAGCATCAATACTTATAAACTGGAGTTCGTTAAAAATCAAAACTAAAAAATCAATGCACATAGAAACAAGAACTCAAATTGGATTCGTCTACAAATTTTAACACAGCGCTATATTCTTTGTGAACTCATTATAATACAGAAAATCTCAATTATGAGTACATTGACTTGGTTTTACAATGCTATGAAAATAAACATGTACAAAGTCATTCTAACTCTTATAGATTTCCCCTGTGTAAAATTGAGACAGAGTTTAGTGGCTTATCTAAAATAATAATATCTATCTATTAATATGTATTTATACACACCCACACACACATACACACACACACACACACACACACACACACACGTATAAAGAGGTTAGGAACATCAGCATTCAAAAATTTCCTAGGTTTCCTTAGTCTTCTATACCTTTTTCCTCAATAAACAGATTGTCAATTAAAAAATGGACTAACAATATCTCCAATTAGTAACACTTTTACAGCTTATTTGACGTTTAAAATAAATATTTAAGAAAATACTGAAAACATAAAAAAATCACACGACCTTAAAAACTAAAAATAAAAGAAGGTTAATGAAACAGCAACCTATACAAATTTCCACAAAGCATAGCATTGATGAAGTTGGATTAAGAGAAGCAATAAAGTGTACCCGTATGTCACATCCTGAAACACACAGCCACAAAGAAAAAAAAAAAATAGGGAGAATATAATCTCATCTGTTGACTTTGGTTTTCATAAAATGAAAAAGTGTGGTGTATCCTTTACCTTGGGATATGATTTTCTTTAACCATCCAGAGTAATTAATTCTGCATTCAATTTATCTCTTCATATTTATTTAGAGATGGCAATACCCAAATGGTAAAATGTGTAGAAAACAGTGCTGTAGGGATGTGGGATTAAAGTGGGAGGGAAGAGGAGTGATATGACTGGAATACAGGAGTGTTTTTGTTGGTTTGTTTTTATGGTTAAGCTTCCTGATAACTGTCCATGTTAGCATTGTAATTTTTAATAACTTAAAAAGGTTTTAACAGCTGTAAATACAAACCTCGTATTTAAAAATATCAGGTTTTTATAGATTTCTCCTAGTTTGGGGATAAGTAAAATGAAAAGTAGAGGAGGGACACCTCCATAAGACCAAATGAAAAAATATGTCCTAGCAAGGGCTAAAGAGAATATCAGTCTGAATATTCAGAGGAGATCATAACTCTGAAAATTATTTCTTATAGGAACCAGAAGATAGTTTTATAATCTTCTTAAGTTTGTTTAATAAAACTCAGGAAGAAGTYGCAATGAGAAGCCTGGATTCGAAGATGCAGGTAATATAGTGTGATAAGATATTACAAGGGAATTAAGATTATGAAAACACAATGTAATCCATATAGAGGAAGTTGAATGCAGAAGTGACATTTGGAAGGAAAAAAACTTGAAAGGTCTTTCCATAATTTAGAGGAAAAAGTGGCATACTTAGACCCATTACTGTCTAATTCCTTTTGAAACAACCTGAGATACATAACATCAAGAAAAATCTTTGTAGTACTACCACAAAGGGGAACCAAGTGAGAGAGGGAGGAAGGGAGGGAGGAAGGAAGAGGGAAAGGAAAGGATAATGAAAACTTTAATGTTATAAAGAAAATGGAATCCAGCCAAAGGAAAACTTTCTACTACTAAGATGTCCATGGTTTAATGAAGGGATCCATGAGAAATATCTGGGTTTTCCCATGATAATTAAGAATAACACTGGGCCCAAAGAGACAGGAGTTGAAAACACACAAGAACTGTGAGTAGTCAGTGGAAGCCTTTGGAAAATGTAAACTGTTAAGTACTAGTATTTGTGCACAGAGAAGCGACTTCTTTCTAGGCAAAACAGAGGATTTGCTTCAAGACCCTCCTGAGATGGCGAATGGGACAATCATTAATACCTAAATCCTGGTTACATGTCACAAAGGCATTCCTAAATATCCCTGGGCTGAAACTAAATTAAAAAAAGGCAAAAAAGCTAGCTTTAAACATTTTGTCATAGCTATCAGTTAGGAAAAAGCATAGCAACATTTTGAGATTCAAAGAGGGAATTAAAAAAAAAAACAGTGATCAAAAAGTCTATCACCAGACAAAATATACATTATGCTTTTTAAAGAAAAAATAAATTCAAGGTCTCACCTAAAAAATAGGTAATTTATATCCATACTTAGAAATGTATTCAAGACAATCAAGAAATTAATAGTACTTAACAGTTGAAAAAGGGGAAAAGCCTAATTGTAAATGGCTGTGAGTGGGGGAAAAAAAGGTAAATTTTGTAAATACAACTTATTAATTAAATGAAATAATATATGCATAATTACTTTAGTATAATGCTATAATTACATAATCTTGCATTTKAATAATTATTATTCAAATTATACATATATACAAATGTATTCAAATTATGCATATATAATATATTTTTTTATTTAATTACAATAATTATGTGTATATTGGTGCTTAATTATTCAATTGTATTTATAAAATTAATTTTACTTACTAAAATTAATACTCAGAGGGGAAGGACTACATGAAAATCCAGTATTGAAACTATCTGCTTTAAGGGTTCTTTCTCCAGATTACAGGGGTCTKGATTATGTGGGACTGCAAGGAAGCCAGGAGGGGAGAACAAAGGGATGAACTGTTAGTCAAGCAATGACTATTGCTTCATCAGGGA